TAAAATATCGAAAAATATACAGCGCGCGAATTTTAAATGAGAACTTCCGAAAACCTTTCGGTCACAATGTATGTAATTAAATATGATAAGAGAGAATTTTTCCTTCAGACATTGGATGATGTAATAATAGACTAATAATAGTCAAGTAGACTAATAATGTAATAATAGTCAAGCATGATTTGCTATATATCTTAGCTGCAATAATATTTTAATTTTCGAAAATGATCGATTTTTATTTATTAATTTTAATATCAATGTCAAAAAAATTTTTCGAGAATTAGGTTTAATATTAATTTGGTATGAGCCTAGTTAAAGCCTAGTGTGTGGTAGAGATAAGCTCCCCAGCCATTATAGAGTAAAAGTGCGTAATAGCACTAACTCAAGAAGAATCAAGAAGTATGAGCTAATGTTATACTTTTTTTTTTGTATCCTAAGAAAACTTCATAAATATTTTTAGTATTAAAATGTTCCAAAAATGCATGTCGTCCATTAAAATTACAGTCCACATAAAAACATATGTCCTAAGGTAGTATCTATTAACCTGTCCTAAGAGTAAAAAGATCTCATAATTTGAACCAGTATATATGAAATTATTGCGTCTAAACAAATAATTCTTATTTTTTTACTCTTTATCTAGTACCTACACCCTTCAGGTTTGTCAAGATGTTTGTAACGGATAGAAAGAAAATATAAAAAATATATATATTCTTGATCAGATTAGACCTTATATCACATAGTTGCCATATAAACTAAACATTCGGATACGAGTCTTTAATTACGCTGTTTTAATAAAACTTGGTATGGAATATATTTATATTATTTATATGAGAATGTACAAAATTTTATTTATATTGGTCCGATTTATATATAGCTGTCATGTAAACTGCTCATTCACACACGTGTTTTGTTAGAAAAACTTTTTATTCTTTAATGCATGGACCTCAAATGCATAATTTATAGTATGAAACCTGTATTATAAACGAGGGATATTGGTTTAGATTTAGAAATAGCTTGCACTAGTACTGCTGATTTTAAAACATAATTTTGCAAGAAAAACTACTTTGTTTTGTAATGTATTCACTTCTAATTTGGAAATTTGGTATCTGCTCTAGAAGATAAAAATGGTAAAATAATATTAATAAATTTAAATTTGGAAACAGTTGTCTTGCAAACTGATATTTCAGATATATATATCTTAATCTATATTATCTGTGCTGCTATGTGTGCTCCATATTTTTCATTATTCAGGTTACTGGCGAAGTCGTAAGGAAACCCTAACACTTGTTGAGCAACATTCTGAAATATTGATGCTACGTGACACGATAAACCCAGAGTTCAGCTTTTATAAATTCTTTAAAACCGAACTCAGTTACAAACTATGCTGGAAAGGGATAAGCAAACCCTATAACGTAAAACAGAATACGATATTATAGTATACGGACGGCTCTCTTACAGATGAAGATGCTGGGGCTGGCATAGTAGGGCTGGGCCAAAGACACTGCGCAAGAATATGACAGATTTCAGGTTGAAATTTATGCAAAAGCCAGATGTGCTCTATTTAACAAAGAAAGAAACCACTACAATTAAAATATCGCAGAACTGACCGACAGTCAGACTGCCATCAAGGCACCTAACTCTCATTAAACTGATAATGGAATGCCTTGATAGTCTAAACACCATAGACCAATTAGATATTGATTCTGTGGGTACTTGTGCACGTTAGAATACCGGGAAACGAAACAGTAGATAAACTGGATAGGAAAGGTCCGCTTTGCATCTTAGGGTTCCAGAACCGTTATGTTGTGTAGGCCAGAGCCACTTCTCACTCTTATTAGAAGAGGAAATCAAACCAAGGATGGTATACTGGGACAAACTATTAGCTCTTCTACAATCTAAAACACTTATATGTTCACATACAATCATAGTAGGTTCAAGGACTGTATAATCCTATCTAAGAACAGCTTAAGAATTATTACAGAAATCCTAACAGGACTAAAGCACCACCTAGCGAAACTAGGGATGTATCCTAATACTAGTAGTGCATGCTGTAAAATCCATAAAGAATCGGCAATGTATATACTTCTAAATTCTTCTGCATAATTTCACGTTATAGTAGGATTTATACTAAAGTTTATCAAGGTAATCGGACTTAGAGAAACATTCTAGGTCCAGTACACAATAGAATGAACACAATAGATCTTAAGGTGGTGATACATACACCTACATAAGAATAATTTCCACATTTATTACAGCACTTATCAGTATCATTAATCGTTATGTTATATATAAGTTATAATATGTTATATTACACACAAATTTTATTTAAATGAGACTTTAATGTTGATTCAAAACTGTGTGTGCCGAGTTTGTTAACTTCGACAAAACCAAAGCTTATATGTTTACTTGACGTTATGTCAATTGTCGTACCGAAAGTACGATACAGACTGGTACACAGATGGCATTTTATTTTTTTTGATTCTTTAACTCTTGGAGGCGTTTGTGTTCTTCAGCTTTGAATTTTTTTCTTTCTGATTTTGAAACCCCATATATTGAACGTAATACAGGAACATTCAAAGCGTGCTCAGTTGGATTATACGATGACGATGCTTCTTCCCAATCCTCTCCTGGTGGCAGCGGCTTGAACTCGGGTGGAGAATGACTCAATGTAACTGAGGAATTTTCAACAGCAAAAGCATACTTCTTATCCGGACATGTTTTTAAGTGCTCCTATGTTAACAGAAGCACAAATTTATTTAATGCTATATACCCTAATTAATTTATTAGATTTTTTCCTTACTTCGAGATCCTCTTTATTTTGTAAATGCTCAGCATTAAATGGGCAAAATACTTTTTCTAAATTCAAATGGTTCCGTTCACACCGCGGTAAATGAGTTGGTAGGCGATGTTTCCTTAGCCAGTGATTAGGGTCATATGGGCATTGCACTATTTCATCATCTGGTACCTAAAATTAATTATAACAGTTTTTATATGCTAAAACCACGAAGTTAAATTTGCGTTATAAACTATTGATATTGTATATATGTTCTATGAACTTTATATATGGTACTCACGTTATTCATAATTAGGGCTTTTCACACGAATATATATTAGTTATATATATATATATATAATGGTATTGATTATTGATTTTATAAAACGAGTAGTCTAACTTAGACGTTTAATGGTGTCAACACTAAAAAAAACAAATAAATGAAATAAATTTATTATTAATTAAAATTTTTTATGATAAAATAGGTAACTATGGTATGTTTTAAATGTGCAGTCAATTTTAAATATATCTCTAGTCGTTTTATGTTACGCTTTCAATGCAAAATATGTAATTGTGAATGAGAGAAAGAGGAAAATATTGATTTAAGGCTCAGTTAGACGGTAAGTAACGTAAGAAATTAATTCGAAGCGAAATGCACAACTAACACATATTCATGTTTTCAAACACATATTCATTGTTAATATAGTCTTAATGAAGTTATAAATCAAATCAAATAACAAGTTTCTTAAAAAAGTCATTTAGTTTTAATAAGAATCAATATTGAAATATCATTACGAACTCAAATGTGATAGCCGCATGAAAGAAACTAAAAGAAATATTCGATGAGATATTACAGAGTGACACCAAAAGTTACAGTTGTCCCTTTCCAAAAATGAACATCGACGTCACGTATTTACGTGACAATAATACAAAATAATTTTTCTGTAATTTTTCTTTGTGTTTATATCGAAAATGAAACTATTCTTGATTAAAATGAAATTGTGATTTTGGCAAAGATGTGTGCGGATATTCGATTTGTGTTATAGTACCTGATTTTCATATATATATATACATATATATATATATATATATATATGTCAAATTTAAGATTTCTGTAAAAATTATTTAAATTTCCCGAATTCCGTTTTAAGTTTCTTTAATTCCATTTATCATTCACATATATTCATAAAATATATATTTAAAATATTTCACTAACATTTTAATGGTTAGCTTAATTAATGGTTAATTAACTAATGGTTAGTTTGCAATTCAAGTATGAATTAGGGGAAAAAGACATAGGAAAAGTGATTAGTTATGTATACGAAAGATGTGTATTTTGATTTACAATGTTTACGAGTATTTTGATATAGGATTCATATTTTGGCAAATACAATAAAATAACTTATACTATAATTTTAAACTGGCAATACCTTCATTATGCTTTTTGTAATCATATGGTTTCCTTGTAGTGATATTAGGCACCGAATATAATGTCTGTTCCACAAGTTACTCGTAGTAACTTTGAGTAACGCTGTGTATAAACAAGTACGTTCCACCAGCAAATTTTATAGTAAATGAGAGCATCCGAGAGAGCGTAACATCCCTGTTGAAATTTGAAAATGCTAGACAGACTTTACTCATATATTTTATTTCAAGTAAAATTTGTGTGATGTGTGAATCAGCTGTTTTGGTTTGAATTTAAATTTTTGTATTTATTTGCGCGACACTAGTGTTCTTACCAGATTTTACATAAAGCTGTTCCTTGAAAATATGTGTAAAGAGCGCAATTTGGGAATTAATTTATGTTACGCCCTCAGTTTGTACTTTACTTGTGTTTTACTTGAGTTTTACTACGAGTAGCTCGTGGAACAGACCTATAGATAGAAGAAAAAATGAAGAATGCATCTATTAGCGAGAGCCATTACATACCTTTCAGATGGAGTGTATGTATTGTAATTGTTTAATACCTGGGATTAAAATTTGGAAAGAACTATGCGAAAGAACTATGAAGAATGTTTTGCGATATTGTATCAAAGATAGAGCAAAACATTTCTCGAAGCTAACATTCTGTTAAATATAATAAATTATTCAAACGTGAAGTTGTGATTAGAAAAATACATCAAGTTCGTGTGAATGGATTTTATATGAAGAATGTGTTTAGCAAACGCGATCAAAAACTAATAGTAGATAAATATTGGTATCTATTGATGAAATTACGAATGAGCTAGAGTAGATGTTAGATGCATATATTATACATGGCATATTAAATGGTTGTACCGTTCTCTGTAGATATTGTTTTCAATAATGGTAAATTTGAAATGAGTTTATAGAACTGTAAAGTTTATATTTATATATATATATATATATCTATACAAAAGAGAATTTTCAGACTTTAAATTTTAAATCAGTTTTACTTTAGAGGTAAATGAAATTAAACAACAATAGACATATTTACCTATAGACAATATGTTTTTGTAATTTTTATAGACATCATCACGCAGATTTGCTCTAAATGAAGTATATCCACACCTGCAATTAGCACCCATTTTATGTGTACCGCGCTGCGGAACTCGGATTCGTGTAACAATTTAATAGTCTGAGTATTTAATGGAATAAAATTGGTAATAGATGATTTATATTATATGCCGGAAGCAAAAGGATTAAATTTAGAAACTTGGGAAATTCGATTTGATATCGAAGGTATGTTATGGATATAGTTGTTGGGTGAAAATAAAGAATGTTTTAAACAGTTACATGAGGAAATTGATAGATTCATTGCAATATTTTTACCGAGAAGTTTACCGTCTATAAAATATTGTTTAATAAAGATGAGTGATCCACATCACTCGTATCATGTATTGTAAGTAATTTAGTAATAATAGTAAATTCAGAACCTCTCTTTACCGATCATATTAAATTTTAAAGTTGTTTTAAGCTTTCTTAGTTTTATATGGCAACATGGGAAATTTAGTTTACATGAGTCTCTAGGGTCACTCATGTTGAGTCTTTTCCGAGTTAGTGCATCGGAGCACTTTTACTCTATGATGGAGCACTTGGTTACAAATTAATCTAACTCTCCATATTGCTAAAAACCGCTATTGTTATTTATATTTGATTTAGGATTTAAAAAAGGCAATATCACACCTCCAGTTATTTAGATTTATCTGGAAGAAATTTTTTAATCATATTTTTTAAAAAAATTTAACATTTTTACTTCAGTATTATATTAGCTTAATGTAAATTGAATACACTTAAATTAGTGTATAAGGCTGTAGTTATATTGCATGCGAATTTTATCTTGCGTGTTCGTACGTAAATATATTTTCTCATGTGAATACATCGCATGTTGCGGTTACATTGCTTGCGAGTTGACTCTTCTGTTTCACTCGCAAGCAATGTTCTGATACTGAAGATGAAATATATTTAGCGAAAAATTCGTTATCAATTTACTTTTTAATTTTAAATTACAAAAGATAAATTTGGGAGTATGATTTTTATTCTTCAAGGTATAAAAATGGAGAGTTTGTGTATTCCTCAAACAAAGAAATTAGCATATCCCAATCTTTTTCCTAAAAGTAGTGTATGTTTTCAAATTTATTTCCATTTATAAACTTAAAATTATGTGAAAACAACACACACCTCTCAATTTCACTATTTACATCTTCGATTTTGCACGAACGCATGAATTTCAAACAAAATATTTTGTTTAATCAAATATTCGCATGGGAAAGATAAGAGGTCGCGCGAATTGTTCTCAGCAATACATACGTTTGATTTAATCGTACGAATACGCAAGATAAGTTCGCATGCAATGTAACCGCAGCCCAATAAATAAAATAAATATTTTATTAAATTTTTATAAAAAAAATGTATATATCCTATTAGTAATGGCCATAAGAATAGTTCTCTGAATATATCCTAATTTTTAATTTTTTTTATCTTATATTTTTGTTTTATATTGTTTTCCTTAATTTGTTCTATGTAGGACGCACACAAGGAGTAAAGGATAAACAAATAGATTCGTTACAATGCTTTGAATTTCATCATTTGATGGCTCAGCTGCACAAATATTTTACTTTGAAAAGTGTTTTTGTTTGTCTAACTATTTTCGAAAACATTTTCTTTATACATAGTTTAAATTTTAATTGTAAATTAAGTTATTTAAGGTTGAAATCATTATTATTGTTTTCCTGAAGTAATGTAATATAATTAAAATAAATTATGCATAACATAAATTGTTCTTCGGCTAAATGTAGAGCATATAAACTTCATTCTGAAGTATTTTCAGAAATGGAAAATAAAAATCAATAATGAAAAAACTAAGGTTCTGTATATTACGCGAAGTGGAGACAGAATCCGTCAAGAGCGAGAGTGGGAGATATGGTAATAAACTGGGACAAACGTTTCACATGGCTTAAACATGTTCAACCGAAAAGAATTAGCTATGCTAAAATTTTTCATCACCTCGAACCGCTATTCTAAAATGAAAATCTCAATGCTAAGAACAGGAAGCTGATATATAATCAAATAATTTGTCCGTCGCTTCTATATGGATGTGTAGCGTTTAGCAAAGCCTTAAACATTACTATTCGCCAGCCAGAAATTGGTTAAAGCCAGGCTCTTGAAGAATTTCAAGGTACCATGGTACAAAAGGACGACTGACATCATCAGGGACCTCATGATTTATCCGAACAAAAAATACATAAAGGATATAGGCTTGAAAATATTTACGAAAACTGGCAGCCTTACCAACACAGTTTTATCGAATCTTACAGACTCCTTGAGGAGGTATGCAGATCTGAGGTCAATTATTGCTTAGTCAGATGAAGTGATGAATAATAATATAATATGACTGCAATAAAGCAATTTAGAATAACTAGCGAAGTTGAACGGACATTCAACAATCAAATATTCTGAGCGTCTTTGGCTTTACGTTACTATTGACTTTAGTTTGGAATTCTGACAGACCTTGTTTAATAGGGAAGTTAAATAAACACCAACAAATAATATCAGCATAGAGATTTAACCAAAAATCATTTTTACAAATTAACGTTATTTCGAGCTAAGTGACATTTTAAAAATAAAACCCATTTCTAGACAAACAAATATTATGCATTACAAATTCTTATCGTGCCTGTTCTGCCATATTATGTGATAGTACAGATAATAATCAACACTGTTTAGAAGGTGTAAGTATACATTAAGACTGAAAAGTTTTCGGAAATTCTCATTTAAAATTCGCGCGCTGTATATTTTTCGATATTTTAAGTTTATGTAGTTTGGCAGCACTGTCCTTAATTACTATGCCAAAAATGAGCGCGATCTGTCAGACAGTTCGTTTACGGCAGCTGTTGAAACCAGTTCACCTCAGTAGTGCGTTGCGAAATGTCTTCGACGGTCGTACGACCGTCCTGAAAGGCTTTGTACCACTCATAAACTTGAGTTTTCGATAAAACTGATTCCCCATAAGCCTTTTGTAGCATTCGCAACGATTCTGCACACGAAATTTCGTTCGAAACACAAAATTTGATGCAAACTCTTTGTTCAATATTTTTTTCCATTGTTTTTTTCGCAACGCACTACTGAGGTGAACTGGTTTCAACAGCTGCCGTAAACGAACTGTCTGACAGATCGCGCTCATTTTTGGCATAGTAATTGTCCTTATATGTGCTGCCAAACTACATAAACTTAAAATATCGAAAAATATACAGCGCGCGAATTTTAAATGAGAATTTCCGAAAACTTTTCGGTCTTAATGTATAGAAGCGCTCGAGAGAATTTCTCAGACGATTTCTCGAAGAATGTTCTGTATGACTTGTTAACGAATTGGATATGACGACCCATGAAAGCTATATCGTCACATATACATAATAAGAGTACAAAAATTTAGTGGCATTGCAGATTGATGTTATATGAATAGATAAAACTATTCTGACCAGAAAGTTGTTTGATTTGATACCGCAGTGGAACTTCTGCAGTAGAGGTTGTGTGCATATCTCATAGAAGAACGAATTGATTATATGAAAGCACTCATTACTATCAACTGGCTAAAGCAAGTCATTAATTGAGCTGTCTGGAGGAAACTACTGAATGCAATTAAAGACGACTTAAAGAGCAATATGGAACCCTGGGTTTTTTCCTGTTTTTTATAACTTTGGGTCTTTTTTTCCTGTTTTAATAATTATCTTTATCAATTTTCTTGACTCGAATCTCTGAAGAAAAAGCGTAAGGAAAGAGTTAAGCAATAACAACAAAATAGTGAAAGAACGATTTAATAACTATTTTATAATAATATGAAAATCTTTTATTTTTTTCTTTTTGATATGGAAACAAGAACTTATATTGAATTTCAAAACTACACTGCAGACTAAGTCAATTTAATTGAATTATTTACGTGATTTGACTGCACATTGTAAAAAGTTGGATGCAGAAATAAATCTGCAATCATTTTGTTTTGTTAGTTTAAGAAAAAGTTTCGAAAAATTGAAAAACTTGTAATATAACTTTCTTGGCATTGTATTACTATTCTTAAAAGACAAATTAACAGTATAGTAAAGAAAAAATATATAAGTTTTTATAAGAACTTCGTAATCTAACATCTAAAGCGTAAAAAATATAAAGTACATTAAAGTATTTACGTACTCAAAACTTACAAAACTTAAGAAAAATACTTATCCTTATCTTATTTTACCTTTTGTAAATACTAAGTCTTTTTAGCAATTCAATTTTAGTGCATTATTAATATAACAATCCATTAAAAACAAAGATACAATTCCAAATGATATTATAATCTAAAAATTACAAAATTCCAGAAGGTTTCGAATAGTAATAAAGAAACAACTACGAAAATTTGATTAATTTAATGAAATTATTGCCAAGTACTCATCATCAGTTGTGTTCGTACTTGACAATACCAGAAACAAGCGCAACGATAGGGCTTTGGTTTAACAAAGAACTATCCAAAGTAGGACCCATGGGCCACATAGTTTGCGGCTAATGTGGCCCTACCCGCAACATGTTTTTAATCAACCACAATTATACATATTTTCTTTTGGTGCATTAGTAAAACTACATTATTTTATTTTTATGATGTACCAAATAAATGAATTTAAATTGATAAATTAATAAATTTAACATTGTGTATGTATTTGTTTCTGCGGCCATGTACAGTGATACAGCCCTGGTCTAATATATAAGTCTTCTTTATAAATTTGATAGGGTTTAATGTCAGACACTTGCAGTTTCAAATTTTATACGAATATTTACATTTATTCTTCTTCTTCTTGAGTTAGTGCTATTACGCACTTTTACTCTATAATGACTGGGGGGTTAATCACTACCCCACACTAGACTTTAACTAGGCTAAAAAATCATATCATTTATTTGTCTTTTAGTTGATGACGGACCTTAAATCAGCATATCTTCCTGAGAGTCCAGAAGTGGACTTGAGGATTGTTATGGCTTTATTTAAAATAATTTATTTGATTGAACATTACTTTTTGGTTGAATATATGAATTGAATCACATTTTTCTTCTTTTACAGTAGATGAAAAGCATCAAAAGCCACTGTGTGAGACTTGAGCCCACTAAAACTAACTCTCACCAATGCATAGAGAAAAGATTCCCAGCAGGGAACCGTGCAGATCCGAGGCTGAAAATCTCATTCCAGAATATAGGGAAAGAAATGAAATAGATGATTAAAAGGTTTAACATTTATGGAGTAAATATATGTAAGCTATAAAGAAAAATTGTGGATGGATTGAAAATATATTACAAATTACATTATATTGAATCACTTTTCTGCTCAAAATATTATAGATACTCTGTCATAGATAAACAATTTCAATTTTTTTATGTTAAAGACTCTATTTAAAATTGTTTTTTAATGTATTGCAATAACTCCATTTAGAAAAAAATAATAATAGTGTGGAAATTTTTAAAACCAAAATATTTTCTAAATCTAATGTATTCCTGGATTGACCAAATTCATTCATTTATAAAAACGTGTCCCAAAGGAGCTACAAAAATATTTGCAAAACTAAAAATAATATATTTTAAAACCATTTTGCTAACTATTTCTTGTGTTGACTTATCACTGATATATATTATTCTTTTTAAAACATCCGTATTTTTCGCAATCATAATATTTTAAAAAAATATTTATTTAGTTTAAAAATCTATTTTAATATTCGTTTTTACTGCAAATAGAAACAAACAGACCTTAAAAGCGCAATTGACATATTCATGAAAAAGTCGTCCTACCTCATCTTTCAATATTCACATATAAATTTCATCGTTTTGTAGCTTTTATTGACATATACGAGCATTTCAATTTAGCATGAAATATTGCCTTTCACAAATAAAGTTCAATTTTCAATTCCTTGCTAAACATACTGAAATATGCAAATAACATCAACGGAACCGGAAATGCTTTACTGTGCACATTTGTCATTCTTAAAGGCTGTTCGAAAATTCATGCAATGAAGAGAACGATTTGTAATAATGTTAACGTTTATTATATCATCGAGTAGTGTTATTTGATTAGTACTGTTTTTGTTTTTGCTTATGGAAATAAAATTATTGCAATATTTTATCTACAAAATTAAGATTTTCATTATTAATCCCGATTAGGGAAAATAGATTTTAAAATTAGAGGACACTTGACCATTAAAGATTACGATAATGGAAGAATTGACAAGTTCACGTTACTTACTTTAATAGGCTCCAAATCTAAAATTAACTTGTCAGACCACATCAGTATTGAAAAGTATCGAATAAGCTGTTTTGAGAAGGCTGGATCGACTTCAAATGTCTGAACTAATCCATTAATTTCATTTGAATAAACAACAAAAATAACAAGTTCATCAGTGTAAAATTTATTAATTTCTGATTTCGTAATTGCATATATTCCTCTATCTTAGTACTTTTAAAAGATAGAACTTAACGACAACGACACCTTAAGAATCAGTCCATCTTACCTTTTTTGGCGATTGTCAGGTAATAAGTCCAGTGTCCACATATGATTTTTATTGAACCGAATAAGTTCTGGGATTTAAAACTTAGTTATATTATTACATTTGTGAAAAGGTCTAAATTGTTTATTCCACTTTTCTACAGAAATATCACAATAGGTATTATAGCTCGCAGTATTCCATTATCTCTTCTAATAATAATAATATTAATAATAAAAGGAATGAAAGTAATATTATTGGATTTATAAAAAGCTCTTAATTGTTTAATCTTCTTTTTTACAAAAATATCACAATAGGTATTATAGTTCGCAGTATTTCATTATTCTTTCTAATAATAATAACATTAATAATAAAAAGAATAAAAGTAATATTATGGGATTTGTGAAAACCTCTACATTTTTTGTTGAAGTTTTCTATAGAAATATCACAATTATATTACAACAGATTTGTGAAAAGCTCTTAATTATTTATTCTACTTTTCTACAGAAATATAACAATAGGTATTATAGCTTGCAGTCTACCATCATACCTTCAAACAATAATAATTTTAATAATTAAAGGAATGAAGAAATAGCTGGCCAGAAGATAAGGGACTAAGTGTTTGTGGCATTATAGTGGTATTATGTTTCGCTATAAACTATTGGATAAATAACAAATTTTAAGAAGCCTCCAACCGTTTGATGTCCAAACCTATTATTAGGACCGCTTTACATGAAAGTTTCATTTTTTTTATTAACTTCTCTTAAAGTAATTCTTCTTTAACTAAGCACATTCGGTTCAATTTTTTCTTAGTTTCTAACAGTAATGGATATATGAGTACAACTTTATTATGATTGGGTCATGGTGTTGTCGCCAGAGGCTTTGTATATTTTGTTTTTGGGATTACACAGTTTGGGATTATGGTTTTTAGTCGGCATAAAATTGTGCCCAAATCCGGATAAAGAAAAACTAGATAAAGGAATGGGATATAGAAAACAAAAGGAAAAACGTACAATTTTTTAGTTTTCTTATTGAATCTAAGAAGATCAGGTGAATGAGAAGCATGGACTTCGTTGCTTTTAAACTTATTTTTAACACAAATTCGCATACAGTATTTTATCATACAAAAAATCGAAGGTACATGAAGGAATACTCAAGTGTTCGTATCGCAACTTCATGACAGTCAATACATGCATTATTAATCATGCAACCAATTAAAAAGAAAACATTCGAGTTGATAAACAAAATGAAGTTTATTAAAATATTTTCAATATTTTATTTTTCTACAACAAATCCTATCAAAACCTTTTCCAAATGCACTACAAATTTTTTTTCTATTGAAAACAAATAGTTCTGCGAAGAATATCACAGTTACTAAAATCGCCATGAAGCCATACCCGATCCAAACATACTTAAGATCCTCCATCTGCATTGAAGTATATTCACGCTTTTTACTCAAATCTGTTAAATTCAGTTTACCAGCGGCTATCAGCTCGAGAAAACCCATTTGCTCCCACTGCCTCGTAAGACCTGACTGTGCAGTCTCCAATATCAATTGATAAAGAATACCACTAAAAATGCTATTCTGATGCACTGGGAAACACATTGGAATATTATTAAAAAAACACAAATCTTTACGATAACGTAAAATGGGTGTACGAAAAATTTTTTGCTGTTCATTAACAATAGTCCATTTAGTAGTTGGCATCATATAGCCATACTTAATATTGAACGAGTCACGCATTTCGATATATTTTTGGAAACTATTCTCTCTGTAGAACATGCGTTCATACTTTTTAAATTCTTTAACACGTCCCACTAACTCATTATATTCCGGTGTCCAGGCATAAACCAATAGTCCAGAACGTAATACATCGTCGAAATTAAGAAATGGCGCTTCCTTCGGTGCACTTGTCACATAAGTTGCAAAGTAAGAATTGTAAGTTGTAGTTAGTAAAATACCAAGCAAACAGATTTTCAAGTATATAAAACGTATTAGTAGAGGTGATTTGCGAATTTCTACAAATGATTGACCCAACGCACCACGTAAACAATTATCATGCATGAGTATATCTAGTAGATCAGGTCTATAGCCTTGCAAATATAATGCACCGCTGAGAATCATCGAAATTAAAACGAGTGTGGCTACTGTTATGCCGAAAGCACTTGCTTCAAAAACAATTATATAGAATTCATAACTTGGTATGTCTGCCTCTACCGGAACGACTACACACCAATCCATTTGTTCGTATGGGTAACTGAAACCGGTTGGTGGTATGGAGGGAAATGTAAGACCAGCCGAAAAATCTATTGTACCATTACGTACTGCTGCTATTAAGTCTGTTGAAGGTATCAAAACGTTTTTGGTTGTTGATAGTGGCATTGTTAATATTGTATTAAATTTCTTCTCCAATGCTTTTAGGAAATGTCCAACGAAGCCTACTATAGTTAATTGTCCACTTGGCTTGCGATAGATAATTAGTCTTGGCTCAGATCCAGCTACACCATATTTAAGATGGTAACCTTTTAAATTTCGTAAACGATTAGGAAAAATCTCTTTGCGATTAATAATGTCAATTGAAATTTTATGCTCTTCGATTTCGAATTCTGGAAAATGAGTGTAACTGTAAAACGTCGCAGATATCTATAATAAAGAAGAATGAAAAAGATATATTAGATATAGTAGATATATTAGATAATAGATAGCATTATCTAATATATTAATTGTTAATAGTAACAAAAAATGAATTGAGCTGGGAGTTTAAGAGCAATTAAGCAATACTTTTAATTCACAAATAAGATATAGATTAAAATCTTTCGTTATCTAAAAGTATTGATCTCAAAAATTTTCATAAAAAAATTTTATATGAAATATTGTCAAAATCCAATAATCCACATTGATCTTCCTCAACTTCAACTTCAACTAAGATAGGTGACTCCTGAAACGAGAGAAAATTTTATTTGAGATGCTCTATTTTTAAAACATATTTACCAAAACAAAGAATGTTAAAAAAAGTCGAACAAAAACATAAGCTATTTTGGAGATATAACTTTTTTTGATACTCCGTATCTCGATAAATATTCTAAATAAAACTTCCTTCATTACAATTTTCATTTCATGAATTAACAAATTTTTTCCTGTAGTTAAGGCATTTTATTATAAGATAATTACAACGTAATTTATCATTTTTAAGAATTTATACAAATGTGCATGCATTAAGAAAATTAGTGTGAGTTTCACACTAATTTCACACTAATTTCACATTATAAAAGCACTAAAAGTTTGTAAGAATCTCACCTGATAATCTGCAAAAAGTACTGCAACATTTATAATTTTAGATTGCCAACAGAAGTGAAATAGTTTTGTTAGGTACTCCGTATTAACTTCAGCTTCATTAGATAAAAATAACACTTTCGACGTCGTCATTTCGCGCACATTAATTAAGAATTTCTGCAATAAAACACTATTCTCCAGGAATAGTCCATCTAATATGACCACAGATAAAATGTTATCATTTACGTATCGTTTTAAGAATAATGGAGTTGACAATTCATTCATTTGCAATACGTTCACTTGTAATTTTGTCATTATAGCAACCAAGAAATGGTTCAGTTCCACACTGGTCTCATTTTTGTCTTCAATTTCCGTCAAAGAGTTGACGAAAGTTGCGGCAATTGTGGTGTTGCGATTTCTAACAACCAAAATATTTTGGAACACATTGAAGCGCTGCACATCCATTAAGAAATCGATTGCAGTATAGTCCGTCAAAGTTGATGCACTAATCTCTAATGAATGATTTAAGCAGTTCCATACGATAAAAAAAGTTATTATGGAAAAATTTTTGAAATGAGACATATCTCCAAAGAACCAAATTTATGTTGGCACATCCAAAAAGTGAAGTGTGAAACTAGTTGTGTTTTTGTTTAAATTTTGTCCTTTTATAGGCGCTCTAGTTGAACTGCTATGGAAATTATGTGTGTCCATCAGCAGTTCCTTTGGGTTTAATTAAGGTGTCATAATACATGTTTTTATATAAAAGCAATTCAGTGTTAAAGCAAAAATTATTGGATTATTTTTAATTGTCTTGATAAAGTTAATAAAATTACAATTTTTTCGATAAAAAAAATAATTATTAAATCCTATCTTCATTATGAAAAATGAAAAATTAAATATAGCATATAAAAATTGAATTGAACGTCGAAAAAAAACGACCTGAACTAATGAAAAGTTAAATGATACTAAATTAACTCACTAAATTAATATATAAAGATAAATTTTAATTAATCGAAATACTAGAAAAAAAAATTTTTTTAATTAAACAAGATTGTATATTCCATACATTTATTATCTATATTGTAAACATTATATATATTTGCAAATAATAATGGTTAATATTTTTGTTGAAAACTTACTTCTGTTCTGCTTCAGTTTGTGTAGTCTCGGACATTGATTCCAGAATTTCGCGTTCAAATTCATTATAAGATTCAAGTAAATAATTACTATATTCATTGTTAACTAGTTCCGCATTCATTTCCTTGAAAGTCATATGACTCTTCGCTATTTCTGTATCATTCACATAAGTCTCGGCATTATGACCATAAACCAACCTACACATACTATTCAATCCGGCGAGATTTAGTATATACCATGCAAGCGATGATATCCAACAATTATCAATTTCTTTAACAAATATTTCAGGTTGCAAGAGTTTCTTAAAATTCCATGTAACAGGAAATGGTATCTTAGCAACAACAAATCCTGAAAGTAATTTTCTTATAAAATTACCGACTATTACCATGGGTAATAATTCTGTTATTCTAATTTGAAAGGTTCGCATCATTGGCATTTCTAAATTAAGTGTTTGTTTTGATTTAATTCGATTTGTTAAAAAGCCAGTTTCTTCATTAACAAAGAAATCCCTTCGCATAAAAAACGAATCTGGTGGCAGGTACTTTCCATTCTTATTCAAAAGGTAGGCACGCCTCATAGCATGGCTATTGTATTAAATAATAAATTAACGGAAGCAATCATTAGTTTAAAAACTTACTTATCTACAATCTGGGCAAGATCTGGCTTTTCCACCGGCACCATAAGTGATACAAAATAATAGCGCAGAACCACAACTGCAAACGAAATAATCACAATTGGTATAAAAACCCAATTGCGTATAGCTGGATCGATTATTATATCCGTTTTATTTACTCCTGTCATGTTATTAAGTCCGCAAACCGGGAAAAACTCTTTGTCTGCAAAAAAAGAACGGATTATCAAGTATTATTAAAGTAGCAAGATTATTTCGAATACGCAACAAATGAAAAATTCACAATAACTAATTTCTCTGATACGTATAGTACACAATAGAGTTATAATACGCTTTTCGTTTGGTAATATGACGTTTATACTGGCCGTAAATGACTCATTTCAAATAAGTTATTTGAAAGTGTTTATATTCGTTGTTATTCATTGTCAAAGTGATTTGTCAAACTTTCAAAATGTCTCAAACTTTCAAAATGCCATGAAAAACTTTTATTTAGGATGATATACTCAATATATTCATTTGCATTTGGAATTCATTTGAAAGTCTTTGGAACTCATTTATACCAAATAAAATCTACTGCGTGAGTGTGGATGTCAGAAATCAGTCATTTGCTTTTCATATCTGATTTTTGACCAAAATCAGTCATTTGAGGCCAGTGTAAATACCACATAAGCATATCGCTAAAGATCAATATGAAATAAGTATTACTTCTACTGGCAATTCTGGAAGAACTGGAAATTTTGTTAAGCTTATATATATAAAACACGTAATAAAATTTAAAGTAACAGTTTCGAAAATGAATAATAATTTTTTGGCAGTTATGGGTAAAAATATTTTAGATTTTACATGATTGTGAATAAAATTTGTATTTTCAGGTTTTTTCAATGTTAACAAAAAAACTAGTAATTTGAAAAGAATTGTGTATTATTTGTCAAATATTTGTTAAGAATTAGCTAGAAATTTTATACGTACTTCCTAAAACCATTCACAATAGAAAAATGTTTAGACTTGGCAACCATGCGATTTGAGCTGCTTATTAGTTAAAGGATTTCAAAAAAGTTGGACTAAATAAGCCAACAGTGCTATTGTTTCATATGTTATTTTTAAAATAAGCGGTTGTTCTTTTGTGATATGCTTACAAAAGAAAAGTCTTAATGTTGTTAATACTTCTAACAATTATATTAATTATTTTATTGGGGTATTTCGGGTATATTGGGGTATTAATCTCAAGTAACGAGCACGGTGTCTAATACATATTCAATTGGTGACTGTAAATAATGACCCCATCTATTTGTCTCGATTTATATAATGAAATTGTGTTGATTTACGTTTGTGACTTTCACAACATAATATCAAACGTATTCGAAATCAAAAAATCAAAAATGATTGTTCTTAAATGAAAAGAAAAAAGATATTTTTGATTAATATTTTAACTTACCAAACCACATGATTGTTGTGCACGGTTCTAATGAAGGTGAAACTCTGCTATTAAAAATGATAGAAGAAATTACAACGTTGCTGGTTTCTACCTATATATTTATACTATTACCACAAAATTTTTATATAATTTTATCTTGATTAAAATTTTATTTATATTTTTTTGATATATCAAAGAGAATAACTTACTAGATTGCTTTAATTTTTCGAACATTATATGGCATTTACACTGGCCTCAAATGGCTCATTTTGGTCAAAAATCAAAAATGAGAAGCAAATTACTCACTCTTGCATACAAAATCCCAAGCGCAAATGATTTCCAACGAGGTTAAAATGAGTTACAAATATGTTCCAAATGCAAAGGAATACATTGAACATACCGTAAACAAAAGCTTTTCATGGCATTTTGACAGTTTGAGAAAGCTGTTTTTGACATATTTACAAAAATAGGTAAACAAATGTTTGGTGGTTCCATTTTCTTGTAGGTATATTTTGCCTACATCCAACATTTTTTTGGCACAGGCCAAAAATCAAATCAACAGACACTTTGACAAATCAGCTGTTTTGAGTGAGAACAAACGAATTACAACGAATGTAAACACTTTCAAATGACTGATTTGAAATGAGTCATTTTCGGTCAGTGTAAATGCCATATTACATTCATTCAATTTACAATAAAAACTGAAAAAATTCATCATTTTTACTTATAAGCCCAGAATTTTTAAAAGAGTGAAATTATATTTTTTAAGTTTGCAGAGATAAATACTCAACAAATTAGAGCAGTGATTCCTAAAGTTTTTTTGACCAAGGACCATTATGATATTTTTGTTTTTAATAGGAACCACAAAGTTCAAAACAAAAAAACTGTGTGATTTTAATATGCTTTATGCATCTCTGGTATAATGTATAATGAATTTTATAAGTGCATAGGTACATAATATAAGTTATAAAATTAGTATATAATTACTTGCACATTTTTTGTGCTTATTTTCTAATACGCGATCTCACTGAACAAACTACAAGCTATATATCCATATCTGACAAATTTGATTTATGTACCATTTTTAACCATCTTTCGGACCGCCGGTTGGATACCACTGATTTAGAGTATTTTATTTGACTCAATTAAAGTTATGACAAGTCTACATCGCCAATAACTCAGTAAATATTGCTTTTGAGTATGTGTATCTTTATATGAAATTATTAGTTAATCTATAAAATTAAAACCAAAATGTATTTGAAGATTGTTCTTAATATATCATTAATTTTATTAAAAGTTATTGCTTAAAAATGCAAACAAATAATTATCCGATCTAAACCCAAAATCTTAGTTGATGCTAAAGGGTTCTGAGAACTTAGTTCTTTTTAGCGGCTTTGACTGCAAATACTGCACTTTCATAGTAAAGCCAGTACGCTACATCTGCGATAAGCATCAACTGAAGAGTAGCTAGGGCCATCTTAATCTCATTGTTCTTCTTATTCTTGTTCCCTGCTAGACCAACAAAGGATAGTACCATCTTAACAAACGAAGACACTTCAAAAAAAGTAAAAAAAATCTCAATTTAGTAAAATACACAATTTTTATATCTTCAAAATATTTGTTTATTTTAAATTAAGTTCCAAGTCATTTTACCAGGATTCATTTTGTATCAAATAAAAGAGACTCTTTTCGCAATTAAAAAATATTTTTTGTATTGACTACGAAAGAAAACTTCAAAATTTTTTGCTAGTTTTTGTTTTTGTTTCCGTTCTGCAGAAGATTTTGACAGAACAATTTGGAACGTTCTGTAAAGAAAAATTGATTAGAATATTTTCAAACTAAAAAAAAATGAAAATAATTTATTGGTGTTATTTATTTCGACATATTACTTTAAGTTTACTTTAATAAAAAATTATTTACAGAAGTAAATGAGTATAAAGAAGTATATTATAATAGTTTTTATTCCTATATTGGAAATAGTTCAAATAGTTTAAATTAAATTAATAGTATTAATATTTTAAAAATACACATATTATTTTAAAAGATCTTGTGAACTTGGTGTAGGCTGTTTTATTGACTATCATTGACGGCGTCACTTATTTATTTCAAATTCTGCCATTTCACAATATGTATCATTGTACAATCGTTAAGCTAGTATTAATATTGTATAAACTTACTACAAAATATCCAATTTCGTAGTATAAATTGAATATTTTATAGTAAGTCTGTTCCACGAGCTACGCGTAGTATAACTCAAGTAAAACTCAAGTAAAGTACAAACTGAAAACGAAACATAAAGTGCCAAATTTTGCTTTTTACACAGATTTTTATGGAACAGCTATGTGTAAAGTCAGGTGGGAACACCAGTATCGCGCAAATAAACAATACAAAAACTTAAGTTCAAATCAAAACAGCTGATTCACACATCAACACAAATTTTACTTGAAATAAATTGTACGGAGTAAATTCTGTGTAGCATTTTCAAATTTCGACAGGGATGTTACGCTCTGTCGGATGCTCTGATATACTTGAAAAGTGGTGAAACGCAATTGTGTATACAAAGTGTTACTCAAAGTTACTAAAGTAGCTTGTGGAACAGAGCTTGTATTTTATAAAAACTATATTTTTATTTATGATTCAATATTTTATTTTCGCTTGGAGAATAGGTATGCCAAAAAACGAAATTGTCTCATCGACGTCTATTGGCAGCTATCTTAAATCCATTGCAATATACGAAGATACATTTAGATACATTTTTCGAATATTTGGCGATATCATGAACAATAGTATGGTCAGCTCAAGAACTTTCTTGAGTAAACCTTTTTTTTCAAATCAAAACTTTTTTACTATTGACACCCTTTTTTATTTGTATATATTTTTTCCCTGTACTCAAACCTCGATCTTCTTAAATAACTGAAGCTTTGTTACTGTCATGATCTCATAACCATATCATGGTTACAAAGTCAAGCTTTCAGTATATTGTTTAAAGACAATACCTGGTTACAGTGGACCTGTGTACAATTAGTGTACATAAATTTAAGATTATCCGAAAGTTTAGGATTAATGTATTGTCATACATTTATAATACTAATGATACTTATAATACTTATAATAATTCAATTTAATGAATTGTTGAAATTTGAATAAGGTTTTATTTTTATTTTTATAATTTAGTATATAAATAAATCTTCAATACAAAATCCCTATCCAAATCAGGTTTTACTACTAATTAAGCTTATATATACAAATATTTTTTTTTGATATTTTGTTTTTATTTATTTTTTCCGCTAAATTTACATTTTCGTTTTAGGGTAGAAAGTTTGTCTCTGTCAGATTTGGGATTTGAATTCTGCAATGTGGCAACGCATTTATAATTTGGCAGCGTCGAAAGTAAAACAAATTAACGCTCGACAAAGAAGCAAAAATATTTATGCAACCGAAAGCCAAAAAGTTAAATTGGCTCAGTCCGAAAGGATTAAACTTTTCTTTTTTGTTATTTTCTTTTTGCACTACAAAATTTACTATTAACACCGCAATGCAGTAATTTAAATAGAGAATGAGTTCCACGAGGTTAATTTTTCTTTAATGCAGCATTAATTTAGGAAGAGTTCACACAAATGTTTATGCTAAATGTATGCAATCACCATCTTTTGTCCTCTGCTTTGATTTAAATGTTATTAATGAATAATAATATTTGCAAACTATGTAATAATTATAAGGATATTGATATATAAACATTTAGAAATGTTTGGTAAAATAATCTATTATTAGGTTATTCAATATTTTCTCGAAATGAGAAAAAAAACTCAAAATTTTAATTGTAAAAATAACTGTATGTCTCAGAATCATTATTAAGTATCTGAGAGATCGTAATATCCCTGTCAAAATTTGAAAATGCTACATAGGCATTTCATTTCAAATAAAATTTGTGTGATGTGTGAATCAGCTGTTTTGATTTGAACTAAAATTTTTGTACTGTTTATTTGCGCGGCACTGGTGTTCCCACCTGATTTTACACATAGCTGTTCCATCAAAATCTGTGTAAAAAGCAAAATTTGGCATTTTATTTATGTCACGTTCTCAGTTTGTATTTTACTTGTGTTTTACTTGAGTTTACTATGAGTAGGTGGTGGAACAGACCTTGTATTTTATAAAATCTGTATTCCCAAAAAGTTGTTTCCTCCTACAAGAATTGGCTTCTAGTAATTACTTCTAGAGAATTGGCTTTTAATAATTAATTCCAGTAGAATTGGCTTCTAGTAATTACTTCTAGAAGCCTAAGCTAAGTAATTACTGAGAAAATGCTTTATTGTTTCTTATTGTTGAAAGGAAATGTGCAGTTTCTCTTTATGGTTTTCATGAGTTTACACTAGTGACCAGAGAGAAATGCAGTAAGTCTTTCAAAAATTAAAAATAAAATAGACCAAAGACCACTGATGAAGAGTACTTGGCAATACTCGAAACAGCGTTGTATGGTCAGCCAAATTTCAATAAAATTAAATAAAAAATTTTTGTCTTTGTCCTTTCTTTGCTATTCGAATCGGTCTAAGTTTTA